TTTGGGCGATTGCTGTTGTGCTTGAACCTATAACCAATGTTTTACGGAGCTGATGATAACAGTACATTTGATTTATCGCTTGATCGGGTCAAACTCGTTGATAAAGGAGGTGCATCTTCACTACTAACCAAACTTTTGCCCTTTTCCTCATGTACAAGAAAAGGTCAGAATGTTAATATGCGCAACGCAACAATTTTTCTTATTTCCCAAGTTCTTTTTATACAAATATTTTCTTGAAACTTACTTGGTAAACATGTTGTTATATTGCAAGATTTCATACATGCTTGAGCAATTCTTTCATTTTTGCATGCATCTGGGAAACCTACCACAACACGACAAACTTGGCTAGTGTCTGGACATTGTCCAAGAGCTCCTGGCTGATCACATAGACCGCATGTTTTCGGACATCTTCGAAGAACTATTTGATATAAACTTGGATGCCTACAATGAACCACGAAATCCAATTGTTCACAAATCGCATCAGCACCGGCATCTAAAATGCCAAGTGGAAAATCTTGATGAAAGGGAATGATTTTGAACATAAATGGTCGAATGTTTAAATTGTTTATAGAAGGATGAAATAAAACTAATTTTATGACGAGAAGGTAACACATTTAAGAAATTGGAACTTCAAATTTTTCAAATTCTTTAATCTTTTATATTTCTGATAATTTGCTATTTTTCAATTTCAATTCTCCTCTCCAATTCTTTGCTTGACTTTTTTTTCGAATTTTCATTAAAATGTAACCATTAAAACAATTGAACTGTCGCGTTTTGCAACATTTTGCGCACGAACTTGGACATTGCGACACACTAATCTCAGCGTATTCATTCTTCGCGCAATTTTCGTTGACTTTGTAATCTTGGTCGCTAAAATATAAATTTTTATAAATTTGAATGTAAATGTGAACATAAAAAATTAGAAAAAGAAGAAAACCCACGAAATTTTAAAAGCTAATAATTACATTTTTAAGCATTACATTTTTGGATTGTTCTGATAAGAGTCTGGTAGTTTCGCGAATAGAGCATTGCATGCAGGCGAATCCAAATCATGGCAATATTCTGCTGGTACTGATGGACGTTTTTTACCTCCAACGTCTTCAATGCATTCCTTGATTGCCTCATCAGCACCATTATTTCTGCCAAGTAAGCAAAAAAAGATATAAAAGTATGGAAACATTTTCAGCAGTGAAGAATAATCTCTCATTTCACCTCTTTATGCCTAAAAATTGTGTGGGTGTCGTCGTTGATAAAAATTTATTCAGCTTTTCGAAGATATTTCTCCAAAATAAATATTTTAATTTGTTTAATTTAATTTCTTTTCAGTGAATCAATCGCTTCGACAAAACAAATCCACGACAATATTGTGGCTAAAATTTCCGTCGCATTCCTTTTTTCCTTTTTCTCTTTTATTTTCATTCTTTGGAAAAACTTTTCTCTTCAATATCTCGTCAGTGTTTCTGATTTTAATTTTCTCGCCTCGGGGTTACTTGTGAACATGAAATTTAGCTTCATTATAAGATTCTCTTTTATTCTTTTTGAATGCCGAAATTGCTTTTTAATTATAAATTGGTTCCACCATGGCTGAAGAATTGTGCTGTATTTGGTTTAAATCAGTAATATTAAAAATTTATTCTGCACTTTTGAAAGTTTTTGGTTCGTTCTCTTCTATTCTGAAGAGTTTTATTAAACAATATAGGATCACTTCAGATGCTGATGTGCTTCAAGCATCGCCTGAACTTCTCGGTTTGATATAATCGAGAGATGTCCATGATCTCCTACATTGTTAATAAATATTGCTGCATTGACGATTAAATTTTTGCCTTTTATGCTTTCAGAGTAAATTTTCACAATTTTTATCAGTTCGGGAGGCGAAAAAATTCAAAAAAAAAACTATACAATCGCAAGTTTTTTTTAATGAAAAATTCTGAAAGAGTTTATTAGTTAGCTGTTGATTATAAATGAAAAATTTTCAGTTTATCGAAACATCAAAAAAACTCTCTAAAAAGTGTTTTAATATTTCCAAGTACCGTTTTTCTTTATTTGTTTTCTGTTTTTTTTTGAAAAATTGAAATGAATATTGAAAGTTTTTTCGAAATCTGAAAATCTGATTGTCAAAATAATAAAATAAATCAGCGAATATAATAAAATGAATAAAATATGAATAAAATAAATGCAAATTTTATCGGCGAAACATTATACATGTTGGCAATTATTTACATTATGAATTTTATCTTATTTGTAATAAATATTTAATAAGATAAAAGGAAATATTTTCAAATTTTTTGCTGCTCAACTAATTTGAACAATAAAAAAAATGGGCTAAAATCAGTGAATGATTCTAAGAAGTGAATTTGTATGGAAGAAAGAAATATTACCAGATGATTGCAGCAAATCAATCTGCACCCAATCGTCAAGAAAGGTGATAGGACATACTGCGACAATTATCGAAGAATCAACTTCCTAGACATCTCAACAAAAATTTTTACTTCCCTGGTACTCAATAGACTTAGGGAAGTGAGGGACAGCAGGATGTTCTAATCAAGCTGGTTTAAGCCGGGGCGCAGTTGTCTTAGCCAGATATTCACATTAAGAAAAGTATTGGAACATCGCTTCAACCCATTGGCACGTGTTTCATCGACTTTGCGGCTATCTTTAGTTCAATTGATAGAGCGGCGTTTTGAGGTGATGGAACGCGACAGAGTTCCAGAGATGATTGTTAGACTCATAAATGCACTTAATAAGCCTCGGCGAAGGTATGCTGACCGACTCCTTCAATAAGAACTATGTCCATCAAGGTGGTGTCCTTTCCCCTACAATATTCAACTATACGATGGACTCTGTAATGGGTACCGCTTGTCAGCATTCAAGGGGTGTCCAAATCAGTCATCTCGCAGTCCGTGCATCATATCGCAGATCTTGAATACGCTCATATAGCTCTTTTTGCTGACCGTTCTAATGAAACGCAAATAATGTTAGAAAATGTATCAAAACAAATGCAGCAAAAATTGGACTCTAAATCAATTCAAATAAAATATAAGTGTTTTCGTCTTATATAAAATATGGCTTCCATTATTGTCGACGATGGCATCAGACTCCATCGCTTGGAAGCGTCTTGCCCTTTCAGCCATTGGAACCAGCCTAATAAGTAATGGTGAGAGCTATTAGAAGAAGAAGTGAATATGTGACAATTTTCAGTTCAAATATTATATACCTGCAAATTCAATATGCAATATATGCAAATTTCTTAAAATGCGTCTTGGTAATCGAACGACTTTATTATTTTCTGATTTTAAGGAATTTGATTTTGTTTAATCTAGCGAAGTAGAAGAGAATAATTTCTCTTTTCTTTATAACTGAGACTGCTATTAGATGAGAGGCGACCTACGAAGTATTTTGGATGTCTTCAATTAATTTACTTGATTTTCTATATCTAAAGGGTTAGCAGGTTGCATTATATCCGAGAATAATCCAAACGAATGCTTTAGATAATTTGATAAAAGAACTTTGATTTCTGTTTTTAAACGGTGAAAAATATAATTTAGTTTTTTTGAGCACCTTTTTAGCTTTGAAATGAAGGTCGAAATCGAGATTTTCATCTTCGACTATGCAAAGATTTTGTACAACTACCATTGATTTTTTAAATTTTTTGATAATAATTGTTTATCAGATATTTATTATCAGATTGTTATCAGATATTTATTTATATTTTATTCATATTATTAGATATTTTTATTCTTATTGAAAAGAATCCAACTCACGGAAATTTGATGCTATTGAATGAAATTATGAAATACTTTATATAAAATACTTTTGAATAGAAAGTAATTTGCTTGTCATTTTACCAGTTGTATTGATCACATTGTAACGAGGACAGGTTATCTGATTTATTATGGGAATAAATTAGTATTAGTTCTATACAATTTTATTATAAATTGCCTTAGACATTTAAAACTTTTAGAAATTTTTTTAAAAATATTCTTATTGTTATTATCACGAATTTTTTATGAGTATTAAATTTTTTGATAATAATAGAAAACTATTTCACTGAAAATATTTCCTAAAAATTGAATAAATTTTTATCATTCCTTCACACATTTTTACGCACAAAAGATTGCACTGAGCGATTCTTATCGCTGAACACATATGATTTATTTCCAAGAACATATGAAAGAAATAATGAGAAAATCATTTTACAAGCATCGTTTTTTGTTACTGACAAGCATTGTGCGAGAAAATTATCTGCTGAGAACTTCTCTATATCTCGGATTGTAGCAGAAAGGTGCATATTGAAAGCAATTAGTTCTGTTATCGAGGTACCAAACGGTGATAGAACCGCGTCCTTACTGCTAGCCAAATTTTCGCCTTTTTGCTTATGTCTAAGGCAAGACCAGAATATTAATATGCGCAACATTTTTTCTTTGTTATCTCCAAATATTCATTTTATACAATTATTTTTTCAAAAATTCTTCCAACAAGAACAAAACCTGGCAAACATATTTTTAAATTGTAGGATTTCAGATTCGCTAGAGCAATTTATTCATTTTTGAAAAACAATATCACAAAACGGCCATCCACTGTACTGGTGTTTCATCATTCGTCTCTCACCGCAGGAGAGTCGGAATGGATGGTATCAAAAGAAGTGCGGCAACGATGACCTGGTCCTCTTCGCTAGAGGAAAGATTTTTAATGCATAGTGTGATGAATAATGTAATATATCAACTGTATCAACTGTATATGGACTTAGACGACGGAAAAAGGAATGTCTTCTATTACTGTGGACGATGGCAAAAACGAATCATTTCGATATGATTGGTTAAACAAAATTAAATCGGCAATAAAAGAGTTTTTAAATTCTAGTAACCAAGGCTCATGCACTTGCATTGCAAATTGAATGCCACATTCATGAAGAGGAAATTAAGGATATATTAAAATTGGGCTACGATACTGGCATCGACTCGCAAAGCCTCTTACGAACCAGTAAAAAATGCTGCTCAATACTAAAATTTGTAACCGACATACTGCAATACTGCAGTACAATCTATGAAAACTGAAGAATTCAGAAAAGTTATCTGCTTTTGTCTGCAATTGTTATCAGAAGCACATTGCTTGCACAACTTTTTCTACCATCTTTATTATTTGAATTTTGTAGGCCAAAATTTCTTATTTATAGAGAAATTAGAAAAACCAAATTTCTTAATGTTGCCGTAATTTTGCCGTATTAATGTTGCCGTATGCTATTCTTGTGCTGCTCATTCTGTGGGAAGCCATTTTGCAGAGCAATTATTTTATTAGTAAAAACTGTGAACTACTCACTAGAAGAACCAAATTTCTTAAACGAAAGTACCAATATTAAAACAGTAGAAAATCACCAGCATGTGGTTCAAGTGATTTTAATAATCATTTAATATGCATTACATAAAAAAGGTCAAACAAAACACCTTGTATGTCCAAAATGATTTGTCACTTTGCATTTTATTACGAAACATCATTTTGTTATTAACGATTGCAAGCATTGCATGTACGAGGACAATATCTGCTGAGAACTTCTCTATATTTTGGATTGGTGCAGAAAGGTGCATATTGAAAACAATTAGTTCTGTTATCTAAGCATCTGCTTGGGGTGGTTACTGCTGTGCTTGAAGCTGCAACTATTGCTTTAAAGAACATATCGATTTAAATGATTCAATAAATAATTTGGTCCATCATATAATTTTTGTTACAAAGCATTTTTTATTTAAGGAAAAATTTTTACCAGAAAATTGCCTCGTGATAGAAGTATCAGATTCCATTATCATCGAAATTTTAGCTTATTTATTCCTGTCTGACAAGAGTTTACCTGGCAAACATGTCGTTAAATTGCATGATTTCATGCAGCTTTGGGCTATTCTTGCATTCGTGCATAAATCATGGGAAACTCTCACGATATTACAAATTTCGCTAGTATCCGGACATTGTCCAAGAGCTCCTGGTTGATTGCATAGGCCACAAGTTTTCGGACATCGTCGAAGAACTATTTGATAAAAATTTGGATGTTTACAGTGAGTTACAAAATCCAGTTGTACACAAATCTCATTAGCAACGGGGTCTAAAATATCAATTTTCAAATAGAATATCTTCCTGATTTTGGATATAAATTTACGAGTACTTGAATTTTCATAAATCATTGCTTTCAAAAATATGGCAGGCAAAATGCATATAAAAATAAATTCCATTCATGAATTGGAACTTTAGCAACAAGTAAACTTCATAATGGTGTCTGAAAAAAATAATTACTTTACGGTTCTATAGTAATAAGAGAGAAAGATTTTTATAAAATATTAAAAATTAAATCCATAATAAATTAAGTGGAATTTTATCAGCATTCCTTAACCTAAGCGAGGTTTCCTAAATTTTCGTGCATCGACTATTCTTTTTCGATTAATTTATTCCCGAAGATTTTTTATATATATATTATATATATATATATATATATTTTTATATATTATATATATATTTTTATATTATATATTATATAATATTTTTTGTATTATATCACTGGAATTAAGAAAGAAATATTTTTAGATCGCAATAATCGTGTGTTGCTAAAAAGTTACCATTTTTTATCATTAAAAATTATCATTCAAATTATCATTATCATATAATTTTGATATATAAATCGAAAAATCTTTTTGGACCCGTTGCGAAATCATCATAAAAACAAAAATTCGCTTCTATGCAGTTGCATTTCGCTCGATATTTCTATATGGCTGCCAAAAAGAGTGGAGAATATTAAGATGTTGCCTGGCATGTCTAATGTACTCGTTAGAGCACATTCATTCTTCGTGGCCCATCGTAAGAGTTGACATATATTTCGTGCTAAATCCTCTGCTGGATGGCTTTAAAAGCGAGATGGACTGATAGGCCAGAAAAAATTTTGAACCTACAAGTGGACCAGCAAATGTATAGACTTAGATGATGGAAAAAGGAGTAGCTTACTACTGTCAACAATGACAATGACAATGACATTAGATCGCGCAGCTTGGAAACGTTTTACCTTTATAGTCAGTGGAGTCAGTCTAACTAATGGTAATGGTGAGAGAATGTGAGAAAAAGAATATAAAGTGGCAAAAACTTTTAAGTCTTCAACGAATAAAAAATAAGCTTATTTTGCCTATAATCGTTCATTTACTGCATTAATTATTAGAAAAGCCTTTCATCATCTGCAAAAGTATTATAGTGATATATTAAACAATATTCACCAATAATATTCCGCCCTATTATCCTTTCAAGTGCAGGTAGGCGGCCAGCATGACTCGAATTTTTAACGGGTTTCCGAGTCGTGTAACAACCCACTTCACTCATTCCACTCCCTCTCGGTTATCCGTATTTTACTCATTGTTTATCTTCATTTCTTACAAAGTTTATTCACCTTTTTCCGGAAAATTTTCGTTAAAAATAACCATTTTCGCATTTGAATTGCGGCGTTAAACAACATTTTGCACATGAACTCGGGCACTGTGAAATAGTAATCGCAGTGAGGGAGTCCTTCAGGCATTGTTCACTCACTTTATACGACATCTGGCTAAAATATAATTGTCTCAAATGTTACTGGAATATCGGATCGGATTGAACACGAAGTTTGTGAAGATGAGTAATATTCTGAATGGAAAATAAACATACGGGTTTCGGTTATTTGTATAAGTATCTGGTGTTTTCACAAACAAAGCGTTGCATGTGGGGGGAATTAAATCTTGGCAGTGTTCTGGCGGAATGGTCGGACGTTTGATAGCGCCTTCGGTCGCACAGTCCACGATGTCGTCATCACGCGCATGATTTTCGGCCAAGTAAAGGAAGAACACAAAGAGTAAAAGCATTCCGATCAATGGAAAATAATCGTCCACCTCATCTTTTTATGCGTTAAAATTACGTGGGAGTGTTGAAAATTTATTCAGCTTGCTTAGCACTAAATGAAACTCTTTAGTGAATCAGTAAGCTAAAATGCAAAAGGGAAAGTCGATTTTTGTTTAAAAATTGTCGGTAATTCTACACATTTTCCTCTTTCTAATTTTTTATTCGCTACAAAAATTTCGGTTCTATCGTTAAGAATCGTTCTTTTCTATCTCTGCTATAGAAATATTTGATAAAAATTCATTTCAAATTCTTTATGGTTATTCCCGTTCGAGAATTTCAGAATTGGATAATTCGATCGGTTCCTTAAAAAATTGGAGATTCCTTTGCTGGGAGATCATATGGCTACTTCTTCCACTTTAATTTTTAATAAAAGGAGATATCAGCAAATCTCTTTATGGCATTGCTTGTTGTTGTATGTTGATTGAATTTTTCTAAAGCATTTCAAAGGTGAAAAAATCAAGGAAAATCTAAACAGTTAAAAATCTTCAGTTAAAAATCTTTTTATTCCAATAATTAGACATAAATGAAGAAATTTCCATTTCAATATTTTAAAAAATATATTCCAAATATCTTCAAAAAAAATTTATCTAAAAAGCTGTTCAAATTTAAAAAACTTTCAGTTTCATGTTTTTTCATTCATTTTCATCGTTTTTCGAATGCATAATTATGAAATAAATTTTTTCTCGAATTTTATATATAAATACATACATTACCAATATTAAATTTAAATTCGCAAATAAGCAAAATTTTTACGTAAATGACTCAAACAATTCGGCCACTGCTTCTCATTCCATTTCATTTAAACAGTTAAGGGAAGCATTTTTGCGTTCCCCGTGTAGGTAATTTCTTAAAGATTAAGTAAGTGAATAAGTGTTCCTATACATTCCATTTCTATTTTTCTTTTAAAAATAATCGAGTATGTTGAAACGAAATCACAGGTAAAAATAAAGCTGTACCAAGCACATTACTTAAACAATCATTATTGATAGAAAATATCACTGCACCGAGCAGACTAACTGTTATTGTAAATACCGTTCATCGATAATAATACAACTCCACATTGTTGTTAAATTTAACAAGCTAAATAAAGTTATCAATAACGCTTCATAGATTAATAATTCAATAAACTATGAAAATATTGATATACATATTCAGTAAATTATGCAAAGCATTAATAATCACATAAAGTAAATGCCTTCAAAATGAAGCGACAAAATAGCGACGGAATGGACAATCCGAGATATAAAGCGACATAATCGCGAGAATAGATTCGTGGAGAGTTTATTGCGCAAATTATCAAATTTTATCCTTTTTAGCAGATTTTCAGTAACTTTTGAAATTTTATTATTGGAAAAGAGAATAATTTATAAAACAATAAAAATTCAGTTATCACCATTTATCATCGACCAATGCAATTTTTTTTCGTCTCATTTTCTCCAATGTTCCTTAAAGGATATAAAAATTTTTTCCCTTCCTGTTGAAGTATTTAGAAAAAGAGTGCCAATTCGAATTTAAAATATTCAAAGTTGCTCGAATAAATTATGCAATAATAAAATTGTTGAAGAAAAAACGCGAAAAATTTAAAATCCTTTGCAATTTCATTTTACGCTTCATATTGAAAAAGCATTGAAAGTACGGGCTGAGAAATTCACTTCGCAGCGGAGAGGTGCAAATTTCTCAAAATTAACTCTTTCCAAAGTCAATAAATGAGTCAAAACAATATAATTTATTTCATATATGTTTTATATAAATAATATATAATTTTCATTCTCGCAGAGTTGGAAAGATTGAAAGTAATCGCATTTACATGCAATATTCTACTTGGTTATATTAATTTAATTTATAATAATAATTAAAACCTCTTAAATAGATAGGCAAGAAAATGTGTGAATTGAACATATCGCAATATATTCGTTAGAAGCTTTTGTTATTGCGTGCTTTTAGCCATCGACGTTGTTTTTAATTCGTAATTTATAACTGATAATTCATTAAAATACCTTCCCTGCTCCTCAACTTCACAGCCTTTTTTTGCTATATTACAATATATATTTATTTTTTCTAATACCAGCACATGGCAATTGACACTTTGACGACTTAGATTATTTCTTGCTGATGGAATATATATTAGTTGCACTATTATCACCGAATTTATAAAAGTATTCTTGTAATATTCTTCGATAAATAATGAGAATTTTATTTTGAAATGAAAAGTTTCAAACATTTCAAGCTAAAAGACTACAAAAGTTAGAAAATATGCAAATTAAAAAAAAGCAATTAAGCATTAAAAAAAAATAGGTTGAATGATAATCGAATACAATAAAAGGAAATAAGGAAATATAAGCAGAAATAATAATTCAACTAAAACCCGTGCAAATGAATGATAAAATGAATGATAAAATCAAAAATGAATGAATGAAATTGGCGAAACAAAGTCGAGAAAACATGCAATAAATAAGAAATAATAGAATAGAATCTATCATTTTCAAACATATTTCAAGGAAAATTTCGAATTTTGGTAAAAATATGGTTAAATTCTTTTCGATTAATATGATTGCGTTGAGATTATTGAAAAGCTTCAGAAGGTATTTTATCGCGCAGCGCCAGAAATGCTTTATAGGCTTCCTAGAATTACAGCAAAATGACGAAATACAAAAATCTGAAATTCTTATTATTCTAGAAATGCAAGCACGAGAAAAAACCTCGCAGTCCCAATTGAGATCCATAAGGCATTTGCGGGACCATTCGGGTTTCATTTGGCTTTGTTGTGAAAACAATTCAATCAAGAGTTTCTGCATACTTTCATAACCAGCTAAAGCCAATTCTTTAGGCGTTAATTCAGGTAACGTTGGGGTCGGGGAAATATTTGCTTCCATCCTGCTTTGTACTTCTTCTTCCGCATAATTTCTTCTTCTTTCTTCAATCATATTTCTTAAAATGCCTTTATAATCTTCCAATCGTTTGGAAGAGCCAATAGCGATGAATAATGTGTCATTGATGATTGCAATTTTTCTGAAAATTCAAGTATATTTATTATTTAACTTTTTAATAGAGATAATCATAGAAAAATAAATCACCAAATATAAATAATTCTGCGATCAACGATCAGTGAATAAATACTCACCCATAACCCTTATCGATAAGGACGAATTCGCGGCAGAAGTATCGCGGAAGTACTGATAAAGATGTATCAGTTAATGGATTTTTCATATTAATGGATGCATCGCGAAAAAAGCCTTGTAAACTAAATCGCATAATATTGCCCTAAAATTTGGTTTATAATGAAAATGCAAATGTACAAAATAGTTAAAAAGGAAGATTTTTATTTTTAAGATTTTTTTTCTCCAGTGGATAAGAAAGCGAATGTATATAAAGTTTCATGCAAATTTTAATTGAACAGAATATGCCAGTGCTAAATGCTAAAAATTAAAAATTACCTTCACAATGGGAACATCAACAACGTTGAACGTCTCAAAGATATGAGCAGTGGGAGGCAATTTTCTTAACTGAACAACAATTTCCATAGCCCCTCTGCAGAAAACTTTTCCTTTATAGTATTCCCATTCTGATATACGAAAATTGTTATCAGAGATTCCTTCATGAGTACCCTTTGCATCTGACAGATTTTCGACTGATAAAGAGAATGTCGCCTAAATTTGCGTTTAAAATTATTTTCCACCAATTAAATCGTTTATTTGTCGATCTTTTATTTGTAGAATTAAAAAAAGAATCGAAGAAATTTTACATTTTCATCGTATGCATCCGTTAGAAAGCTTCGATCATTCGTATCAATACTATCAAAAATATTTATATATCGAGTAACGAAATTTTCAACAAATTCTTTGCATTGCGTTGAAATACAGTAAACCTTTGGCTGAAAGGAAGAAATGGATTAAGTGATAATGAAATGATAAGGCAAGAAATATAATTGTTAGAGGAAAGCAAATGGACATAATAACCTTATTCAATGAGAGTGAAGAAATTTGAAGAAATTTGTTCACCGAGGTCAGGCAAAGCGTCTCCACTCTCGACAGGTTTACCGTCCTAAAATATGTAATTTATAATTTTTTGAATTATAAATTGGAATTTTCTGAAACATAAAAGATTTATATGTAGAAATTGAATATTTTTCGAAAATTTTCAAAAATAAAAGCAAATTAGAATGTGAAACGTACAAGGTTGGCGACTTTGGGAAACACTGCGTGAATCGAGCTAAAATTACGTGAATTAAAGATTGGTAAGAAATTGCCAAATTTCTCATTTAAATTGCTAACAAAAATTTTAAAATTAAGAATTTAGCAAAAAACATTAATCATTAAACCTTAAATAGGCCTCGGCAGAAACAAACTGAGAACATAAAGGGTTATTTTCGAAGAAAAGTGTTTCAACTGGCCATTCTTTCAATTTCTCTAACTCAGAAGCACTGTCGATCTTGAAAAAAATTTTAACTTTATAGGTGTCAAAAATGATAAAACAATAAAACGCTCGTATAAAGAAAATTAGGGAAATGTAAATGAGAAAAATTATGAAAAAAATTCAAATAAGATAGCGCAAGTAAGAAATTCGAGACTTTTTCTTCACTTATTAATTTCTTTAATAAGTCCCCTTCGTTTGCTTATTGGCTTATTAGTATTGCTGGCTATATGTCCTGCATGGTTCTTATGAAATGACTGAAATACCCGATTCGACGATAAATCCAAAGTTTGAATATTTCTAATTCGATATTTGAGACATGAAAAGTGATCCAAAAATCGCAAACGATTTCCCTATAATTACAATATTTATTTCAATTGCATGTTTTATTAGAGTTTTAATGAATTTTAGAGCAAATATTTCACAAAGCACAATCCACTTACTTTCATAATCAAAGACGTGACTGATCCGTAATACTTATCAATCAAATCGATCACAGCCATCATTATATTGTTTTGGCACAAAGAAAAATAAGACGGTTTGGCGTGGAATGCTGAAATGAAAAAATTCCCTCAATATCCCTCAATTTACGAGTTCAAAATCATATTCATTCATCTATGCAAAATACGAATCTAACGGAATAATTTCCAAAGCGCATCGAATGGATAAATGAGTTTGTAAGGAGCAAACAAACTAGCAAAATCCTCCATTGGTAAGGAGTTTCGTTTGAAAATGTTAAAATCTACGTAAAAGTCTGTGTTCGAAAATTTGATAAAAATGAAAAAGCATAAATGAAAAAGTAACCTCGATCGAGCGAAAAATAACTCAAATCAAGAGTGCGAGTTTCAGCATCGTAACGGTCATTTAAAACCCACTGAAATATTAGCTTCTTAGGTGTAAAATGAAAAGGTAACTGTGGTACCATAAATCGAATTGTTCACAGTATTGACTATCTGCCTAGTGTTTCGCATTTATTTATGAAGAAATTCTTCTGATAATTATTGTTTTCTATTTATAATAAATAAAGCGTAAAAGTTGACAAATTACGCAAGTTTCACCGTTAGCAAATCGATTTCATCTTGGCCAACAGCATTAAAGCCTAATGGTGCTTTTTTCGAAATAATGGTCACTGGACAAGATGTGCTTGGATCGTTTATTCGTCGTGACATTGCTTGTATTGCTAATGCTGTCTGAAATTAATTTAATAAAATTAATTTTTGCTAAAATATTAGCGAAAACGCAAAATTAATTATACTTCATCATCATCAATGAAGAAAACGATATCGTTTTGATCAGTTTCCAACAAAATAGGTTTAATCCCATCAACTTGTTCACCAAGTACTCTCAGAAAGAATTCTTTGCCAGTGGACGCACCATGAACAATCTGTAATTTTAAGAAATGGAGAATTGTCGTATAAAAAGAAGGTGCTGATATAATGAAATAAGCTTTGATCAGTTTCCAACAAAATAGGTTTAATCCCATCAACTTGTTCACCAAGTACTCTCAGAAAGAATTCTTTGCCAGTGGACGCACCATGAACAATCTGTAATTTTAAGAAATGGAGAATTGTCGTATAAAAAGAAGGTGCTGATATAATGAAATAAGCTTTTTCTGCACGATGAACTGATAAAACACGAATTCATACTCGGATTTGATTCATTACGACGCCGTCCCGTGAAGCAAACTTATCACAATACACTTGCATTTGTCGAAGCCTTTTTCGTTTTCCAAAGGGTCTTTTTCGCTTTGGCAGTGATAATTTTTCACCTGAATGACTTCTTGTAAGGTCATACAATTAAAAATGTGAGAAGGTGAGCCAATTATTATTAAATTGAAATATCATCAGATCGCAAAACAAGCCAACTTCATCTATTTGCATCTGTAACACTATTTACTGCATCTCTAACACTATTTTATGGTACTATTTGAATTTGTAAAAGAAAAATTTCAATCATTTTATGCAGGTGAGTACCACGTTCATTTGTCGCCGTAATATCTCGAAATTAACCTACCACATTGAATTTTATACGCATATCTGTTTTGATCATTTGATTTTCGAGCAAATCTGCGATTCAATAAACAATGCTATAATAAAAAGCCATAAATGAAAGATGACGGCTATGCATAAAATGCATAAAATAGAAAGGTGAAAGGTGTTTTTTGAATATTTTTTAAGAGAGAGAAAGAAAATATTGAATATAATCCAAGGGTTTATTTCAAAAGAATAGAAATGAAATGGCGACAGAAAATTTTGAAGAAAAATTTTTAGGAGAAACGGTATTTCGAAAATATTACCTGCGATGGGTTTTGCCAATTATCGCTTCCATATATTCGCCTTTTGTTGCGATTATTCATTTTTGACAACTTAATGGACTTTTTTCTAAGCTGAATGATGATAAAAATATAATTCATAAATTTCGGACAAGTCACAATAATTTGCGCTTTAATCTATAAATCACGTGGTGCGCGTGGTGCCTAAAATTAACGGAAACGCCGCAATGTGAGGCAGCAAATTGACTTTTATTACGGAGGAAGTACAGAAAATCGCGTTTGCATTAAACTTCACGATTCGGGACAACTACAAGGATCTTCCCTAAATTATAAAAATTCTCTCTTACTTAATTACTATACTAGCTAAATTCTCGAGGAAATGCGAAATGCTGCTTAACGATGAGGGTGCAGTGGATCACACTGGGAGCCGTTTGTGCTTAACCATAAATTGCTTTTGCTTATTATGGTCGTAATTATAAAGATTATTATTATTCAAAGATTATAATAATTATAATTCAAAGATTATAATAATTAATTATAATTACGACCATAATATCTTCAATGTCCAATGCCAGTGGCCAGTGGTTACCACTACCATTTTACCATGAAAAAAGATTGATTTTACGGAATCAATCATTACAAAATTCTGCAAAATTTCCCCTCTCGGAGTTATTTGAAATTATAATTCCTTTGTTCACCAACTGCAAATTGTTATCAGAAACACATTGCTTGCACCGTTTTACTATCATCTTTTTATTATTTGAAGTTTGTATGTCACAATTTGTGATTTACAGAGAAATTAGAAAAACCAAAATTCTTAAAAGTACCAATAGTAATGTTGCCGTGTTTTTCTTCATTGTTTCTTTTGCTACTCTTATGCTGCGGGAAGCCATTTTTAGCAGAGCAATTATTTTATTAGTAAAAACTGTGAATTACTCACTAGAAGAACCAAATTTCTTAAACGAAAGTACCAATATTAAAATTATTGAAAATCACCGTCGCATAATTCAAGTGATTAAATATTCATTTAATTTCGCATTACATAAAAGTGTCAAAAAAACACCTTGTATTGTTATTAGCGATTGCAAGCATTGCATGGGGGATATCTGCTGAAAACTTCTCTATGTTTTGGATTGGTGCATTAAGGTGCATATTGAAAGCAATTAGTCCTGTTATCTTTGCATCTATTTGTGGAGGCTGCTGTTGTGCTTGAAGCTGCGACTATTGCTTTTAAGAACTTATTGATATAAAAAATTTAATAAGTAAGTTGGCCATTTTACTTAATTTTTGCTTTAGAGGCTAAATAACAACTTCTGATTTTACTAGAAAATCGACTCGTGATAGAAGTATCAGATTTTATTATCAACGGAATTCTACTTATTTATTCCTGTCTGACAAGAATTTACCTGGCAAACATGTCATTAAATTGCATGATTTCATGCAACTTTGTGTTATTCTTGCATTCGTGCATAAATCTTACGATATTACAAATTTCGCTAGTATCCGGACATTGTCCAAGAGCTCCTGGTTGATCACATAGGCCACAAGT